CGCCCGGCCTCCGGGCACTCCCCGGCTCCCCGGCTCTCAGTCTGAGAGCAGCCCGGGACGAGCCCACCAGAGCTCCCGAGTGCCGTTGGATGCGCGGGCAGCTCTGTCCCGGGTCGCTGCCACCGCCCCCGCCTTTATACTCCCGGCCCCTGGTTCTGCCCGCCCCTTCAGGGCCACTACAAAGCCCGGGATGGTATTTCAAAGCGTCGGAGAGGGGCTGGGAGGGGGTGTGTGAGTGCCTACGCGGGAGGGGGGGGAGGGAGAAGAGGGGACTGGGGCTGACGCTCCCCTCCTCTCCTTTCTCCTCTCCCTGTCCCCGCTGCCCCCTCCTGCTTCTGGTCCCGGGCTCCGCAGCGGTGGGCAGGCAGGCGCCCGGGGGGGAAATCGAGGTTTCCGAGGCTGCCCGGGACTTAGCTAAGGGAGTGGAACTCCTCGGACCCTTGCCCGCGCCCTGAACCAGGGTCTCCAGTCCCCGGCATCGGAGACACTCTTCTTAGCCCAGCGGGCCTCTCCCTCTGCGGTGTACTCAAACGCGCTTTTTGCTTGAACTAGGCACAATGTCACCCCGGGGGCTGTAACGGAAACAGCGCCGGGAGGAGGGGAGACCTTGTCTTAGAACAAGCATAGAGCAGGAGTATTGGACTTGGAGTCCTAAGGCTTGAGAACGAAGGCTGCCGCAGACATTACGTGGCTCTGAACAAGTCAGCCTCAGTTTCCTCATATTTAAATTGGGAATATTAACAACACTTTCCTCCCAGGGTTGTTGTGGGGTTCAAATATGGGAACGTAAGTGAGGATCAAATAAGTAAAGTGCTCTGGAAACCCTAAAGCGTTATATAAATGGTAGCTATTATTATGAGGACACTGAATCTCAGAAAGCTTAAGTCAAGTTCCCAGGATCACTTAGCTAATAAGTGTCCGAGGTAGGATTTAAACTCCTATCTTCCTCACTCCAGGTACAGCACTTATCTTTCCACTATCTTGTGCAGTTGCTTGAGCTGTATCCAGAGTCAGGACGACCTGGACCCTTCCTCAGACGCTCAGTAGAGCGTCTCATCACTCTAGGCAAGTAACACAACTTCCTTGGGACTCAGTTTCCTCATCTGTAATATGAGGAGGTTGTATCACGCCAATGTATTTGATAACTATTTCACCATGATTGGTTCCCTTCCTATGAGAAGGAGTCCATACAACTGACCAGGCTGCCAAAGGGGTACATGGGCTACTTGTCTGGCCTAGACAAGTCCCTGCTAGCTCTAGTCTGGAACTATCTAGCTGTGTGATCCTAGGTAAGTCACCTCACATCTCTGAGCTTCTGTTTTTCCACACTCACTAATTCAGAGCACTTGCTCTGAGGAAGACACTGTGGTTTCACATACAAAAATGAAACTGACCCTACCCTCAGGAAACTTGCATTCTATTCCACTGGAAAAATGCCACGCACAAATAGATGAATATATACAAAATCTGGGGGAGAAGGGTGTGTACACGGTTAAAGAAATCCCAGATAACTTGAGGAGGGCCATTAGCAAGATGGGCCAATCTGTAAAATGGGAAAAATAATCCCTATAGCGGCTTCACTATGCTGGGGTGTTGTGAGGGTTCAAAGAGATGGTGTTTGAAAGGAACTTCACAATCCATAAAGCTAGATAGAACCTTTACCTCTCACTGAGCTTCCAATAAGCCAAAATAAACATAGCACTCCAGCTAAGCTTCCTGCGTAATTTATTCATTAAGTACTTAGTTGGGGGGGGGGGTGGGGCAGGGGCTGGTCCCAGAGCAGTCTTTCCCTTGGGATTCGCTTTACCCAGGTCTCTCTGTCTATGTTCGTCTGGGTCTGTGTGCTTATGTGTCTGTAGTTTTGTGTCTGTGTATCTGCGTCTCTGGCTCTGTCTGTCTGTCTGAATCTCTCCCTCCACCTCTCCCCTGCGGAAGGGGGAGGGGATTTGCACATCAAAAGCCTGGTTGGAAAGAAAGGCTGCTCTAAATTCCCTTTTGAAGGGACAATGGGGGGGGGGGGGGGCAGAGCCTGGCCTTTGGACATTAGATCGGGGCTGGAGATGAGAGGAAAGAGGGAGACAGACAGGAAGCAACAACTGGTGTCTTTCCTGTAACTGGCCAAGAACTCTTGTTATCCTTGGGCAGGGTGGCATAGGAGCTAGAGGCCGAGTGGAGTAGTGGGGAGGGTCCTACTGGCAGGAGATCCCTCTGACCTGAGTTCTGCAACCAGGAAAAAGTCACTCTTCCCCTAAGCCTCAGTGTTCTCTTCTGTAAACTGGGGATACTAATCCCCGAAGTGCCTACTTCAAAGGCGGTTGGGAGACTTCAAGGAGATGTCAAGTGCTTGGCAGGAGTGAAAGAGCTCCATAAAAATGGAGACTTACATTTCTATTTTGATCCTTCAGTCTGATCCCTCAATATCTGTGAGAGAAACAAAGATGGACAGATGAGAGCTGTAGAGCTTACTAGCTCAAGTGAATATTGATACACGTATGCACGCACACACATGCACTCACACAGGATGTAGGCTCCAGGCTGGAGGAAGAAGGCTGAGGGTCTGGCCTGCTGCTAAGTCTTCCAGGTTTTACTAAACTGGGTTTGGAGAATTTATTCCAAGAAGTACAAGAATTCCACTAGTGATTCTTTCTCCTCTCCCACCAGGAGGGAAACCTCTGATTAATGTTGTTGTTATCGTTATTGTTTTTGTTTTTTAATGCTCTAATGTATTTATCTTGAGTCGTGCACTTTAAACTTTATTTCAATCCAAGAAATATTATCCAATGCTTACTGTATGCAGAGCCCAGTATTAAGGGCTGGGGAACTGCAAAGTTCAGAGAAGGGGACCCCTGACCTCACAGAGCTCATAGACCGGGATGGAGGCATGATGCTTCCTCTTCTTTTACCTCTTCCTCTTTTTCTCCTCTTGAAACTTTTCCTCATCTTCCTGTTGTTGTCATTATCATTGTCATCTTCCTCCTTCTCTCCTTTTTTCTCCTCCTCCTCTTCCTTCCTTGAAAATAATTCCAAAGGCAAAGGGGAAGGAAAAAAATAGCCAGGCATGTAGATATACTGAGAAAATGTGGTAGAATAAAAGAGCTTTGGATTTGGGGAAGGTAGAGCTGAGTTTTAGTCTTCAATAACTGTGCTAATTTTACCTGTGTGGCCTTGAGCAAGTCCTTTTCCCTCTATCGGCCTCAGTTTGCTCATTTGTAAAACCTGACGATCTCTAAGGTGCCGTTTTCTTTAACAGCTACACACGTTGCAGTTCCGTCAACCTCTTCTTAAAGCAAGGACTCTTCAGAACAGAAACTCCTAAACATCTCTTTCAATTCTCTCCTCTATTACTTCATTCTTTTCCTTACGCTCCACTATGTTCCTCCTTTCCCCAGGCCATCTATGACGAACATTTTTACTGACTTCTTTGGGAGGTCAAGGGTGGGATGGGGGTGGGGCAGGAAGCTGGGTCTCTCAGGAGGGGACAAAATGGATAGAGTTGCTGGCCCTGGAATCAGGAAGACTCATCTCTGTGAGTTCAAATCCAGCCTCAGACACTTACTAGCTATGTGACCCTGGATGAGTCACTTCACCCTTCTTGCCTCAGTTTCCTTAGTTGTAAAATGAGCTGGAGAAGTATATGGCAAAGCATTCCAGTGTTTTTACCAAGAAAACCCCAAATAGGGTCACAAAAGAATCAGGTACAACTGAACAACAAACTCTATGTGAGAGACTCTGTGGAAGATATCAACCCTCCCATATTGATAGTATGAATGTCTGTCTTGATATCACACCTGTCCCCCTTCCTATTATAATGTAAGCTCTGGGTGGGCAGAGACCTCTGCATCTCTATTTGCCAACAGTGTGCTTTACACGTAATAGATGTTAAATCAACCTTTATTGAATGAACAGATGCCTGCCAGAAACCCTTCACTTAGAAACTAAAAGTGGTAGTCACACCAGTGTGTACTTGACATGGAGAGAATGAAAAAGTCCTTCCCTCCCCACTCCACCCTCCCCACACTTCATCCACCTTGGAGATTTTCAGGATAAAATTCTACAAGCATCAAAGAGGTGGTTTATATTGGCTATTTAAAAACAACAGCAATATGCCAACAACACCTGGCTTTTCCCGGGCCCTAGATAGGGAGCACCACTTTTTTTTGAGAGGGGATGTTAGACATACCATTGAAGAATTCACTGGGTGCTCTGTACTTTGCTGATTTAGCCCATATATCATTATTACTTATGTACACAAGATGAGATCCCACTCACAGCTAGTCCTCACCGACACGTTTCCCCAGCATGACTGACCAACCCATTGTCTTTAATTGGGTGAGAAGACATAGAAGACTTGGAATTGGTGCAGCCTTGAAAGATGAATATGGGGCAGCATGGTAAAGGAGGGTGAAGCTGTGGCTTCCTCACTGAGCTTTTATTGGTATCGGAAATTCCTGGGCCAACACTTTACAGCTTGGAGTTTCAGGTAGGGAGTTGCCCTCAGGTGCTGTGGGCTGGAGTGATTTTTTTGGTGGCCACACGTGTGAAAGGAAGGATTAAACCCAGGCCCTCCTCACTCTAAGGCTAGTCCTTTATCCTGACTATATCACAATATACATCTAGGAGTTGGGAAATGATACCTTTTTGAGCTAGAATTTATATTCTTGAAGGCAGGTCTTGTTTTGTTTTTATCTTTGTATTTCCAGAGTCTAACAGAGTATCAGGTTCACAGAAGGCCCACTGTAACTGTTGCTATTGCTATAGTTTTGTCTTTACAAGATCATAGTTCCAGAGATGGAAGGGAATAGAGTGACTTTAGGGTACTCTCCCCCACCCCACCCCCAC